ACTCAACCATAATACCGTACTCTTCCTCCTACTGTGGTAGAAGGAAGGGCGCATTGAAGAATTGAGGTGCAATGACTGATCTCCGCCCATTTCTCCGCTCAGCCAATTACCGTGCAATGTGCCTTCGGGAATCAATATCAAAACACAGACCTCATAGATAAGTCCAGTTCAAAGTGCGCATTCATGGGTAACAAGACCGGCTCGCTTTCAAGCCAAGCCTCAGATTGAGCCTCTGTTATGATTTTCCCGTTCAGAAGTTTCCAGTTCGTAAACGACCTGTAAAAAGGATGGTTGAGGAGCAGTTAGCTTACTTCAACAGTTTGCTTCAGTACACTTATCACAAGAATGAGTTATGGACGAAACGTTCGGGTTGGACAGGGACTCAAATCCACAAGATTGCGAGCTTAGGATGTTAGATGTTAATTCGAGGTTAGCTGCATGGCAAACGGTGGATGCGGTACTCTGTGCGTTCAATGAATAGATGTACACTCCTTATCCCTGAGCCAGAGTAGGCGTGGCATTTGAACATGGCACGGAACTGGTTACTCGTGGAATATTCCAGTCTGGGACAACTGTCATCTTGTTCTGTGTTGGACAGAGACACGACAACAATTGTGTCAAGATGAAAATATCTCACCAGAAGCATAGACACCTTCAGGTTAAGTTGAAACATGCGGCCACGCCTACCCGATCTCAGGGATTTCGAGTATATTATTTGGAGCCTGGTACAGTACACCGGATTGACAAACTATTATAATCTTAAGAAAGTTGATTACGGGCTCCCGTCGGACTCCGGGCGGAACTCATTCGAACTCGCACCTCACGCGTACCGGGAGATGCGCTATCCATTACACTAAACCTGCAATCTTGTTTTGAACCCGCACTTATGGTTTTCTTGGGCGTGGCAACCCCTTACACTACTAACACCCCTTAAGCTTTCCCGATAACATTGTGGCGAGGAACTGATCAATGAACTTTCATCATTCAATGGGGTATCATGTTGATTAAAGAGTAGGAGACTAACCATGAACATGCATTCTCCTTGAACGAACATTTGATTTTACAGCGTGGTGCTAAATCTTGTCGCTTACCTGAAATGGATCACGGGAGGATTACAGGCGTACAGGGGTTAACGAATATGTGAAGTGGTCAAGTATCTATGGAGGCACATTGAGCGTATGGGCTGAACCAATCCTGCCGTTGTGCCCCCTTAATGGCGAGCTTTTTCTGGCGCTCGAATAGGGTAGCATGGGGGAACCCCACCAGGTGGGCGGTCGTACTTGGGAAATGGTATCTGACCCTTGATGAGAATCCTTAAGAGCCGCGTTCTCCAACAGTTAACTTTACCTATTTTTCTCTTTCATGTCTGATATATACCCTTGGCCTATCGGCCAACCCCGCTTGACGAATGAGAATTTTGGGAAGAAAAACCAAGAGATTTCTGGGGTTTTCAGAATACTGGGAGAAGTGATAGGAAGTTGTGAAGTGGTAAGCAGGTTGTGGGACAGTTGTACTAGAGGAGGAATATGGAAATGTGAGGGTTCGTACTGACACCGCCTTCTCAAGCGTCACGATGCTTCACCCCTGCTCGGAGAGGAGGGTGCATCCAGAGGAAGACACAATGGGAAACCTTGATGAGCCCACACGGGAGGTTTGGAATATGTCTTTAACATAATGAAAATAGCGTGATGCAGGCGTGTTCGTCATGCTTGATCTCGCCAAAAGGATAACGTGACCCAATGTTGTTGTACTGAGGGTGTGATTGTTTCTTCTTCAAAGTTTTGAAAAGAGCCAGAAGTGTTACCACGAGAATCGTACCACAGTTAATATTTACCGCAGAACTACTGACATATTGTCAGGGAAACTCGAAAGCCGCGCATTTCGGCCTCTCCGTCAAAGCCGCATTCCACGCTCGTGGCGGATTCAGCATTTTTTGTGCATTTTTCATATACGTGCTGTTTCTTTCTCCACCTCGGAAAGTAGGGGCGGACCTGTGAGGAAGATGTTATGGTGGGCCCGGCTCCGCCTATACGCTTAGCATGGAATGTATCTTGAAATACCCGAAAAGAACTGTACTGTCGAATGCGTTCTAAAACCCACCAAATATGTTGGGATGACCGACAGGTGTTGGCGATCGCCTCAATTCACGACTCTCCGTCAGCGATGTCGAATGCCATTTAGCAAGGCTGTAATGGTGCTCTAAGTGCTAAGATGAAGTTACAATATGCGAAAAAGTTCTTACGAATTCATCGGTTCAGCCGACATCACATTTTTTGCCGTGGTTCGAAGCAACACATCGTCAATGGATATAGTGTCGAAACCGTCACGCAATTTGCTAACACGGAGTACGATCTGAACATGATTAAAGTCTGAATCAAGTGGAAAAGTGTGGCCCTTTTCCTGCAGCATTATTAACTTCATTCATATAAAATAATGCAACGATTGCTCGCATGAGTACCTATGCGTCAACTGACGGTGGGCCTCTTCCGGCTAATGGGAACGGTGAAATAGGGAGGCTTAGCACAACCGCTCCCTCCCTTCTCTCGCACTCTAACGGCAACAAATGATAAAAAAGTTTCTGCTTTCTTG